ATAGAAGACTGCTGAATGGAATCTATTTAAGAATGCATTCTCTGAACACCTGCTACAATTCATGGTTAACTTTTTCCTCCTTCTGGTCATGGACCAGCTCCATGAATCCAAGCTTGGTGTATGGAAGGTGATTTTCACACACCTACTATGTATTCTCTTTGTGGCAGGAGGTGATGGTATACAAGAACTCAATAAAAGGTAAGTACTTGTCTCATAATGATTTGACCAATCCCAATCTCCACTTGCATGTTCATTACTCAATACATTCACCAGATTTCGGAACATCCCTACTTTTGGTTGTGGAATAATTCAGAAGTTTGCCTGCAATGTGTCAGCCATGAAGAGACTTGCAGTGTGAGACTTTGAGGACTTATTACAGGTTTGTGCAAGCCAGAGACAAACATTGTCTACCTATTTGATTTTGCCTGGATTAGTGCACTATGCCTCCCTTTGAAAATTTGCTGCCAGAGCCTCACAACAGTCATGTACTCAACCTACTATTTGACCTTGCTACTTGGCATGCATATGCAAAACTTTGGCTCCATACATCTGACACACTAGACTTGTTTGAATCTGCAATGGTCTCTCTAGGTCAGACAGTTTGTACTTTCATGAAGATGACATGTGAGTACTACAACACATGTGAACTACTACAAGAGACAGCTGTCTGTGGCTGCTGTACTGCAGCAATGGCAGTAAAGACCAGTATATCAAGCTCAGCTGGGTCATCTGGACCCAAATGCAAATCCCTCAATCTGCAAATGTATAAGTTCCATGCCCTATGTGACTATCCAAACATGATCTGACAACATGGTACAACAGATAATTACACAATGCAACCAGTAGGATTGTTTTTGCACAATTGTAAAACACTTACAGATGAATGTCATAGGGCAAATTTGAATGCGGGCAGTTGAAGCAGCAGTACCCATGAACTTCAAAGAACCATGCTACAACAATGGCATCCATGAGCAAACACAAGGCTCAAGAACGAGTTATTGACCAAATAGTCAAGTCTCTTGATAAATTGGCATGTGATGACACTGAAGGAAGTGAAAGCAGTGGTGAAAAGTGCCCAAGGCAGAAACATGAGAGGTCTTCACCTTCTCAACATTATCACATTGCAGTGTCATTGTGAATTCCTGTGGACATCCCTGGTTGGCTGAGTTCATTGGCAGGTGACAGAGCCACTGAGGTATGTCATCTGGTGTGCATGGCTGCATGTGACCAACTAACTCTTTTCAGGACTTTGTTGACTGCCTCAAAGACCATCTCCTTGAATGCATTCTTGGAGTGGACTACACTGGTGACCCACCAAGCTTTTCTGATGCTGACCATGACAATCTTATCATCTCACATAATATGATGTATGAGCATCAGATGTTGTGTGTCAACTATACAACCTATGACCTCCACTGAGAACAAGACACCATTAATCCATGCACTCGTGCTGATATCATGCTCTTGTCACACAAGACAGATGATTGTCATCACCCATATTGGTATGCACATGTCATTAAAATTTTCCATGTCAATGTATGGTACTATGACAACAATGCCTCATCTGATGGGATAAAGTGGATGAATGTGCTCTTTGTGTGGTGGTTCAGCTGCAATAATGGCAGACCAGGGGGATCAGGGTTTGCTGCACACCAACTGTATTGGGTAGGATTCATTTCTGACGATGACCCAGATGTGTTTGGGTTTTTGGACCCAGATGTAGTCATTCATGGCATCCATCTGATTCCAGCTTTCTTGCTCAGACAAACATCTGAATATTTAGGACCATCATTTGTGTGGCCTGATGAAGACCTCCATGAGGACTGCTCTCCAGGGTGAACCTGGGCTTTCCCCAGGCTAAATAGACCTGCATTCTAGGCTGACCTGGGTTTCCCCAGGGTAAATAGACCTGCTTTCCAGGCAGAACATGGGCTTCCCATAGGCTAAATAGACCCCTTTCCAGGGTGAACCTGGGTTTTTCCCAGACTAAATAAACCCACTTTACCAGGCCATGTCCTGGTGGGGATTCTCCATGCATCAGGAAAACAGTGATTGTTCTAACTGTTCTAATCACAACTTATCTCAGAAAGGTAGATGTATAAGTGGAATGGATGCCAAGGAATATATAGAGCAAGTGAATTAAGCAAGACACATATGGTTCTATAGAGTACTGTCAAGTCTGAGCCTACTCTGACCAACTCTGATGCTTAACCAGGTCTGGAGAGAGGTGTGGAAGCAAGTCTGACACAGATGAATGGAACTCTGACTAGTGGGGGATTGGCAGGGACAAAGTCAGCTGAGGCAGAAATGGAGCAGAGTGAGGGTGTCAGGTTTAGCTTGTGCACTACCCCCTTGCATGATGTCAGCCCTCATATTTCAGAGGAAGAGACCAGACAGATGTTTGGAGATAACTCTGACAGGCAGAAGATGGAGAGAGATGGAGTAGGAACTTTGGTGATATTCATACTGAAGAACAGTGGAGTACTGTACATGCTTTTATGCTGCTATGGAGGTACAGTAACTGGAATCAGGACTGACATATGGAGACTCATAAGTTTTCAAGTAACAACTTCCTGGATGATGAATGAAGGGATGGTGGAGAACATATCAGGTAACAAAAGCCAGAGAAGAAGCCCTTGTGGCACATGACTTGGCCAGAAAAACAATGAAAGACTGCTCATCATGACCCTTAACCCCATTTCAAAAAGGTGATAAGGTTTGGCTAGAAGCATGGAACCTAAAGTGTTCCTATGAAAATAGAAAACTCATGCCTAAAAGAGAAGGACATTCAACTCACAGATGATGGTAGCATGTTGCTCTCCATCCATGAGGGTGTCTCCCTTCATCATCTCCAACATCCTACCCACAATCATGTATTGCCTTGTGGTTCTCATACAATGGAAGATCCACAATGTCTTCCATGCCTCCCTCTTATCATCCTATCATGAAAACAATGTCTATGGGCAAAACTTCCTGGCCCCACCACCTGATCTTGTCAATGAGGAAGAAGAGTATGAAGTTGAGGCAATAGTCAGCCATAAAAGGTCTGGCCATGGACATGCCTTTTTAATCAAATGGAAGGGTTACCCTTCTGCTGAAAACTCATGGCAAAAGGAAGCACACCTAGAACATGTGGATGATATGCTCTCCACATATAAGAAATGCCTCCCCAAGGACTTTCTCCTCCAGAAACCACCCACTCAATGATCCTCTCATACTATCAGAACCATCACCTTCTGCATGCCTCCTTTCTGTTACACTTACCCTCAAGAATCTTCTTGTCATCATACCCCCTTTGCTCATCACCAGTGACAGCCTGCCAGTGATCAGATGATCAGTTCTTACCATCTTTTCATTGCCAACCCTGCCATCATTGGCACCATCTACCATGAGGTCAATGAGAACTCCCCCCTCAACCTCATTTATCATGCCACTATCCAAGCCCTTTGGCTTGAGGAACTGTCTTGCTACATGAACCAACAGAACCCTCTTCTGTCCCCTGCAAGAACCATCCTGAATGAAATCACCTATGAACAGGTCCCCCTCCTCCTAAGACTGTTTGATATCCTTGGAGGTGCAGACCTCATTTACAACATTCATCAATACCCTATGTTTGATTGCTCCCCCTCCCCCTGGGTCTTGAAGACCCTCAACTGCAACCTCCCCTCTGGTTTCTTCTGTGGCATCCTCTCCCCCAGTGTTGTCACCATCATCTTCCCATTCATCTCGCTCTCTCTGAAGAACAGACAGACCTTGTGCCTGTTGTTTATCAGGCCCTAACCCCCAACCATGTGAGTCCCATGGCTCATCATCACCATCTGTGGTTGACCCTGAGGTTGCTTTTGGCATGTCTGAAGCTGAACTTGCCTACATCATGAATCAGATTGAGACCCTTGCCCAGTTGCCACCATCCCCTGTGCTTAATGCACTTACTGAGGCTAATCATCCTCTCACCCTGTCCAATCCATGTCATTGACAAGTGTGTTATGTCTGCCACCATCTTGGACATGTCAGGGTCAATTGCAGCCTTTATGAATGTCCTCTCTGCTGCACCACCCATCCTAGGCACAGCCAAGCCCAATGTCCATCTATTCACCCTTGCTATCTGCTACAGGAAAGAATCTCTACCCCTGCACTGGTAGATGATTGTACCCTCATTGGGAGCAAAGACAATGATCTATATGACAATGACTTTGATTTTGGTGACTCTGCCATCAGCAATATGACCAGAGAGCCTTATGGAGAGTAGTTGAAGTCAGGGACCTCAATGCCTAAAAGGGGGTAATGTTACATTTCACCTCTGTTTTCATCTGTTTCACTGTATGTTTACCTCATTTTTGCTTCTGCTGGACTTCTTTTCCTTTTTGAGCCATCTTCTCTCTGATCTGATGGCTCTCTATCCCCACCACTAGCATTACTGCCTCTTTACATGCTTAGGACATGTGTCATCATCATTGCTCAACCAATGGCATAGTTAGCTTGTTACATGCAGACATCTCATGGTCCATTTCCCTGTAGTATTTAGACTGCTGGCTCAAGTCCTGGAACCCCAGACTTGAGCTGCTCAATTATATGTGGCATTCTCAGATCTTTGCCCTCAGTGTCCCTTACCAGGACCACTCTTACTGGTGTTACCCAAACCCTCTGTCATTTACAGAGGTTACTGCAGCTGTTGCTCAGTAGAAACTCTTAGTCTGTGGCTGAGCTCCCCTTGCACCTTGACTTCAGTCTTAGCATAACAGACAGTGGCAGTGGAAGCTACCACCTCTGCCTCCACATCTGAGCAAAGAGCTGAGGATGACTCCAATGAGATTGATGAGATCATAACCATGTTGAAGACCAACACCCTCACATTCTATGGCACCACAGCACAGCTCACCTCTGATCTGGAATTTTTCCAAGGTGGTTTTTCTGGTGATATCATGGTCATGAAAGACTGGTGATGAAACCACAGAAGTGCTTATCAGTGGGATCTTTCAAGTGGATCATCAAAACTTTTCATGGGCCCTGAGGGAGTGTACATGCCATTGGAGGCTTTCAAGCAAGAGTTTTCCAAAACCAAACTCAGCTGTCAACTTATTGCTGTTCAGAAAGATGCCACCATTAAGACAGCTTGTGCAGATTTCCCCATGATAGTGGGAAATGTCAGGGCTCTGGAAACACTCATCCCATCCAAGAAGGGGACAACACTGGTCTCTTGCATCCATGAGGCCACATCACCTCTATTTGGGTCACCCACTCCTTGTTCATGAAGAAAGACAAGAATGTGTATCCAGACACAGCTAGTGTTGAGGGTATGTATTTCTATTTTATCACCCTTGATTCAACTGACATACAACAGAGGTCCAAACAGCAGATTGGCTTGTTCAAGAATGGACAAGGATGGCTTTGGATCATGCAGTGACAACACACATGGTTTGTCCCCTGCCAGCATTTGATCAAAATCATGCACCCATCATGCCCAGTGACTACCTGCAAAAGCTTTGTGGTGCAGTCATCATTGTGCACTTCACCCTAATACACTACTATTTCAAACAGGATAAGAAATCTGTGTTCAGCAGCATCCTGTGTGAGATGGTGGTGCTACATGAACCTCCCCCCCCCACCTACAAACCCTCTCAAAAGATCTGTGTATGGTGGCAGTCCATCTGTCTCCCACAGGCCAGCCATGAAGAAATTATGCCAGGTATGCTTAACATGACCTTCACATTCACTGTCAATGGCTCATACATCTTTCAGATTTAATGAGGGATAACATGTCCATAACAGTCACTGTCTTTCACTGTCTGTTGATTCTCACCTAAACCCATCATCAATGTGTGTATTAAAAGTCATGGGAGGTAATAGATTGTGTGCAAGTCCTTGCATATGTAGGAATGTTGCACGCTCTTGTACACAACTGTCAAATGCAGAGAAGCTCTGACATGCCATGTTGCAATGTATGCCACTTTGTGCAATCTGCAGTCCCTGCTCATTTACATGGAGATCACTTGACACAAAAGGGGGCCTGCCTGCCAGGGTGGCTTACACATTGAAGAGATAAAATCTGCTGACTTTCCCCACAGCAACACCCCAATCATGGGGGGTGACCCCTCTTGCAGATCAAGTCACTTATGGGCCTCAATCATAGGGGGCACCATGTTTTTGGGCTTTCTGCAATGAATGCCACTTTCCCCCTGCTGGGGCACCTCTCATGTTGAACGATGTAAGTCCCCTTAATTTTTCAGATGGCAGCAGACTGATCATAAGGAGCCTTCCCCCTTGGTTACTAATCCATTATCATGCCCCAATCATAGGGGGGGCCCCTTGCTGTAAGGTATTTATTGGCCTCCATTGCATTTCTTGCCAGCATACTCAAATTTCTCAACCTACAGGTAAGTGTCATGCACATCATTGAAATTGTCTCTTATGGATTTTGCTTTCTACAGACCATGGATAACCAACAGCACTCTGGGATTGGCACAAATGATGGAACTCTTTACACTGTATGGGGTTTTCTTTTCAGCAGAACCTCTGGGCCATGTGGACTGAGTGTCTGTCAATGACAATGGCATGATGGCCATTAGTGTTAATCAATACCTCTTTCCACCTGATGCCTCTATCACTTTGGTGCATGTGTGACTTTGCCACAGGCTATACATTGCCTTCTTTGACTAGGTGTGTCACCAGACCCATCATGAGACTGCTGCATATTTTTTTGTCAGGGTGCTCCCTGGTCATAAACATCCCTTGCACATTCCTGCAGAGGACAATCTGCAGGACATCATGAATGTGCTCCTTGTGTTCATTTCTATCATGTTCCCTTCTACAAAGCATGCTAACTATATGACAGCTTAGCTATACATTTTCCAAGTACAGGTTCTGCTTCTGCTGCAACAGATCAATCCTAACTGATGTCCAAGAGACTGCATTGGTGGTCAACTGATTTATGATACATAGTGTATGGTGCCTCTACAAAGATAACATGTGCATTCACTGTTTAACAAAAAGGTCTATGAATTCTGTTGCATACATTCATAACTGGGGGCCAGTGAACTCTACAACTGCATACATAGGAAATATGAGAATGAATAGAATTTTGAACACCTTCCTGTGGCTGTGCAGCTGCCCACCTTGTCTTGTGCTTTCTGCATTGTTGTCAGTATGCTGGGCATGGTGTCAGCTATCATCAATCACTATATGTATTACCTCACCTCCTATACCCTGTGGTTTGCATTTCTAACTTCTGTTTCCTCCCCTTGAACCCCCTAACTCCTGTGGTCCTATAAAGGATGATGTTGGGGCAACACGAAACCTTGCTACCTTCTTCCAGGTATGTTTTGTCTACTGCCAGAACTGTGTCACCACATCTTGGGGTATGAGGATGGCAGGATTTTTCTCCAGCTGTGCTGTCCTGCTAGGTATCCTGCACTCCAGCGATGCCATCATCTCCAGCTCCTTGGCACTTCACATGGTCTTGCCTACCAACAGTTGTGCTTGGACACCCTTAGACCTAGATATTTATGTGCCTTTGCACCAGATGTGTTATTTGTCCATGAGACTAGAATGTGAGGGTATGTCTTTCTCATTTCCATCATGCATTAACTTCCTCTGAGTACTGTCTTGCAGGTTACAGCATTGTCTGCAAGACATGCATCAATGCCAGACCTTACAACTGTTGGAACATAAAGTGCCCCTGTGGTACTTGACCACTGTGCGATGTTTTGGCTGATTACATAAGCTGAAATAGCGCACATACTTGTAGTATTTTCTACTAGTATTCCCTCAGTAGTTTGTTCACTACAGAGGGTAAGTCTGTTTATATTACAAGTATTCTACTACACTGACATCCTGTAGTTGCCTACAGATATTTCTACAACATGTCTGCCATTTGCACTATACTCACATTTTTCAATGGGACTCATTAGATTGATGTGATTGTCTCCAAGACATCAACTGCTCTCTCCCCATTGTTTCAATTCCACAGTACTGCTGTGATGAATTTCATCAGCACTTGCATGATCTTTTGTGCATATCCCAACCTGACATTCCATCACCATGTGCTGATCAACCCACATCCCATTTATTATGGCTCAATTGACTTCAAAATGATGGCAGCCCTGCAGAAATATGCCTCACAGGTTTTTGAGTTTGTCAGATGTGAAGAGTTTCATCATTTGCCTTACAGTTGCAGGTCTATACCTTGCACTTTGACTGACAGTGGCTGTCTATGGGTTCAAATTTCTGATCTCCATCATGATCTCATGAAGCCCACTGACATCCTCAAATGCTTTGAAGAAGTGATTCCATCAACAACCACCAAGTCTGCCAAGGGCAATGTGAAGGTGCCCAGGAGGATGCAACCTAGTCCAACCAAGAGCATACAGTATGTTTAAATCATTACTTTTTTTTGGTCTGACACATTGGATTATCAGAAACCTCTGCACACTTCAATGGCTCAAGAGAATTCAACCAAACAGAACCATGGAGGACTTCCAGAAATACTACAATTCACTTTCTGCTGACAAAGTCAAGGTATTGTCTACTTCTTCCAACTGCCCTCACCACTAACAGAGGTCATATTCTAGTCCTATGTTGATGAGGCTGTGAGTTTGGTAATGTAGCTGTTAGTTGTGATGATTTCACATTAACAGAGTATAGGTTAAAAGCAGTGGCTGGGACCCAAAGACTATATGCAATGGCATTGTCTACTGAGGACAACTCACATTTGTCTTGCATTCAAGCACTCAAGCTATTGCTATATCACTTTGGACTTGCATACCACCTTGCTTGCATTCAGTTCCCTTATATGTCTCTGCACTTGCACACTTCTTGCACCCACCCATCTCACTTTCATGTCTCTGCACTTGCATTTGTGTCACAATGATTCCCCAACATGCATCTCACTTTCAAGGCATTTTTGTTAATTTATTCTGCATTTGTTTACCCATGTTAGACTTGCTCTCTTCATTCCCTGCTCTCTTGTAGTCGTCTCCATGGACAGCCAGTAGCAGGTAATGTGTACTAGTTATTGTAGCAATACAAATGATATTGGTGCATCTATGGCAATATTTCATATAAACTGCAAAGCCAGTAATAACCATATCCAATGAGATTTGAGTAGATTTCATGAGCACACAGCATGCACTGAAGAATATGTTGGAATGTGACAATTTATTTTGGTGGTAAAATTCTAACATATGGTCATGCCATGTACTGCCCCAACATTTTGCAAATATAAGAATCATCCAGTTTTCATTCAGAACATGTTCCCTCATGGTATAATTCCAACATCTGCCCCAACTCATATTTGGTCATGTCTGGCCATGCCTGGACATGTCAAGTTTTCACTGGGGTTCACTCACCAGTTACCCCAAATGGGCTATGCTTTGTGCAGAGACAGGCAAGTCCATTGGAATGTTCATCTTCAAACAGATTTTGTGCCATTGGGGTGCCATTGCAGAGATTGTCACAGATAATGGGGGACCATATGTCCTTGCTCTTGACTGGCTCTCCAAGACCTTCAGAATTTGTCACATTTGCATCTCCCCTTATAACTCACAGGCTAATGGAGTTGTCAAACAGTGGCATTCTGATGTAAGAGAGGCACTGGTAAAAAGTTGTAGTGGGGAAGTATTGAGGTGGTCAGAAGTTGCCCCTGGGGTATTTTGGGCAGAGAGGGTTACAGTCCACAAGGCAACTGGGTTGTCTCCATTCTATATGGCTCATGGTGTTGAACCCAGACTCCTTTTTGATCTAGTCAAAGCAATGTTTTAGGCCCCTTTCAAAGTGGAATTTTACTTGACCACAGATCTCATCACTCACTGTGCTTGCCAACTGCAGAAATGCCCAGAGGACCTTGTTTGCATTCATGATCTGGTCCTAAAATCCTGCTTCATGTCAGCCAAGGATTTTGTCAATCATTTTGTGCATTCTATCAAAGACTTTAACATTGAACCAGGGTCACTTGTCCTCATACAAAATTTGTGCATTGAGCTAGAACTCAACTGAAAAACCAAAGCACACTACCTAGGACCTATCATCATCATCAGATGCACTAAAGTTGGCTCATACATACTTGTGGAATTAGATGGCACTGTCTTGAAATTCCACTTCACTGCCTTTCATCTATACCCTATTTCCCATGGAATAACCCTCATATTGAAGTCACCCAGCTGACTGGTGCCTCCACACAAGACCTGGATTGCCTCAAAGATGATTCATTCACTTCAGTCACCACCCCCAGGGGACCTATTAGGTTCGTATATTCTTATAGATGTATCCACCTAATAGGTGTTGACCACCTGGGTATTCCCAGCAACTGCTGGAGATTCTCCAGGGCAAGGTGTCAGACATGGACTTTCTCCAGGATTATTACATTTATAACAGAATGCCTGGGGTCCAAATGGGGCTTTCCCCAGTGGATTGATAGACCTATTGCCTGGGCATCCTGGGAGTTTCCCCAGCCTAAATGGAGCTGTTCCCAGTGCATCTTGGGGGATGCTCCAGGCTAAATGAACCTGTTCCCAGGTCATCCTTGGGGATTCTCCAGCCTAAATGGACCTGTTCCCAGGTCACCCTTGGGGATTCTCCAGCCTAAATGGACCTGTTCCCAGGTCATCTTGGGGGATTCTCCAGCCTAAATGGACCTGTTCCCAGGGCATCCTGGGGGTTTCCCCAGCCTAAATGGACTTGTTTCCTGGCCATCCTGGGGATTTCTCCAGTGCAAATGGACCTGTTTCCTGGGCATTCTGGGGATTTCGCTAGTCCAAATGGACCTGTTTCCTGGACATCCTGGGGGTTTCCCCAGCCCAATGTACCTGAT